CGGCTCCTCTCAAGAGAATGGACGGACCTGGGTTTGAGTCTCTGTTCTACCACTTTGTGTCTGACAGTCATAACATCTCTGTGCCTGTTTCCTCACCTGAGAAATGGAGCTCAAAAGTAATTGCGACTTCCCAGGGTCATTATGAAGTTCGAGTGACATAACGCAGGTAAAGCCCCAGCACAGAGCCGGGCCCCTGGTAGGTGCTTCCTAGGTGGTGAAGATGGTTCTTCGTCATCCCTGATGTCTCAAGGGGCCCCATTGCCTGGTTTGCTAGGGGAAGGGGGTGCAGTTCAAGGCAGGTGGAGCAGGAAGAGCAAGGAGAGGATATATGTGGGGATAAAGGGCAGGAGTGAAGTCACTTCCTGCTGGAGGAAATCCTGGAAGCTTCCCTGGGAGAAGTGGCTTCAAGCAGAGGATGCAGAGCTCCACCTCTCTTGCTCTGAGGCCACTTGGGGGTTTCCTCAGCATCACAGGGTGGGAAAGAAAGCACCTTGTCCTGAAAGCCAATCCCAGACCCAGTCCCAGGCCCAGCCCAAGCTTCTTCCCTGAGTGCCCTGGGGGCAAGTCCTTCCTCTCTCTGGGTATCTGCATAGCCCGGCCAGAGAGGACCAGACTCCCCAGAGGCCTCTTCCAGCTCTGACCCTTATGCAAGTCCATCCAGACCCATCCTCTGCATTACTCAAGTCTTGCCACTGGGTGGCAGCAGGGAGTTAAGCTGGGGTCCAGGCTGCGGCTGCTGCTGGCCAGTCCCTCCCCCATCGCTGGGTGTTCTTTGCTCCTCCACACCCTCGGCTGGGTCTCCAGGAAACCAGAGCTAGATGACTACTTGCATCCAGACATTTGATCCTCCCCACAGCCCTGCAGAGCAGCCAACATTTTCTCCACTTTCAGATGGGGAAACTGAGGCCCAGAGAGGGGAGAACTTGTTCAAGGTCAACACCAGTCATGGCAGAGCCAAGTCTCTCTCCAAGCCCCCAGGCCCCTAGTAGAGGCTGTGTGAAGGGAGGATTGGGGTCAGATAGACTTGGGCTGGCATCCTGATGCCCCCAGTCCTGGCTGTATATCACCGGGCAGGTCACCCACACTCTCTGACTCTTAGCTCGTGTAAGTGCCAGGCACGTGGCAAGTGCTGAACACATGAAGCCATTGCTTTGTTTCTGGTAGACTTTACACTCTATGAGAGCAGACGCATGTCTATCTTACACACCTTGGCATCCCCAGAGCCTGGTGTGGCTGAGCGTCCAGAGAATAACTGGTCCCCTCCCTCCTTGACCCTGCCTGGCTCTCAGCATGAAGGTGTCCCTCCTCGGGCCCCTTCCACCATCCCAGATCGACCCTTTCATTTCTCTCCTCCTCTTGGCAGCCCCGCCTGGTGCCCACGCCCAGCCAGCCTGTGGTAATGGCTCTGCTCATCCACCTCACCAGTTCCCCATGCCCTCCCCCGCTTTCTCTGTCCCTGTCTTTCCTTCAGCCCCTCTCTGCACTACACACTGTTTACACGACAGTGAAGACAGTGCTTTTTTTCTCTTCTTTGTCTCCCTTCCTCACTGAAGGGAAACATGCTTCCACTCTCCCAGGAAGGAAGGAAGTCTCCGGAGAGAGAGAGAGCACACAAAGGGCGGTGAGACCGGTCCCCACAGGCCGCCAAGCACACTCCTCCTCTTGTCAGAGCCCCCAGGAGCTGCTCAGGTGTTCTGGGGGTAATTGAAAGTGTCCATCTCTATTCTAGAGGATAAACAGGGCAGAGAGACGCGGGGAGTAAGAGGGAGAGCGAGAGAGAAGAGAAGAGAGAGCCAGAGGGAGGCAGCCTTAGAGAGGAGGAGAGCCAGATGAGAGAGGTGGAGAGAGAAGAGGGAGAGGAGAAGCCGCAGGCACAGGACAGAGGCAGACTCTCCGCTTCCACGGAGCCAGGGGATGCAGCTTCTGCCCCCACCCCAGGGCCAAGGACCGCAGAACAGGAGAGCTGGTGGCAGGAGCTCCTATGCTTGGGCAGCTCCTGGAGGGAGGGGGTCTCTGAGCACTGGGGGCAGGGAGAAGGGATCTGACTGGTCTTTGTGGCCCAGGGCTCCCAACCAAGTCCTATCTAGAGGCAGGACCCCAGACTGGAGGGCTGAAAGCCAGCCAGCAGCTCCTCTGACCCCACGGCTGGGAATGATGCCCCAACTCCTTCCTGAGCACAGAGACCCTCCAGACCTCCCCTCCCACAGACCACCCTCTCTGTACCTCTGCATGTGCGGGGAGGAGAGAGGGGCATTCTTGTGGTTTGTCTACTTAACTTCTCCAGGGCAGTGGGGGTGTGGGCGAGCCTGGGTGGCTGTGGGTACGTGAAAGAGATAAAGCGGTGCTTGCAGAGACAGGGCTGTGGATGAGAGTCGTAAAGGCGTGTGTCGTGTATGGTGTGGTGTCTGTGTGCATGCGCAGTGTAAGCGTGTCTGTGTCTATCTCTTTCCCTGTAAGTGTAGTATAAGGCCTGTGTTTGAGTGTGTTGTCTGGTGTCAGGGATGTGAGTAGAGTAAGGTGTGGTATCTGTGCATTTCTGTGTATGTGTGTGAGTGCCTGTGTGTGTGAGCATGTGCTATAAGGAGAGTCTGTGTCTTGTTTCCATGTATATATGGGTAAGGGCTGTGTGTTTGTGCACAATCCTTACCTGTGTGCCTGTGTATGCTACATCAGTGTGTCCCTGCACACAGGTCCCCTCTTTTGCTCCTTGTTCAAGATCACCATCCCCCAAGCTCCTGGGAACCAGAGTGACAACTGGCCCTCAGGGTATCTCCAGCAACAAAAGAATGACAAAGATCAGGACCCCCCAGCCAGTGTCCAGGAGGATCTTGTGACTGCAGTTTTACCAAGGCCTGATGGGGGTGACCCATGGAGCCCAGGTGTCTCCCCGCCCCTAGAGAAGGGAGGAAGCTCCAGTGGGCCCCCTGCCCTACACTGAGCCATCGCCCTCTTCCAGTACTCCCAGGTGGAGCCAGAGCCTGGCATAGGGCAGGAACTTAGCAAATGTTTGTTGAATGAATGAATGGTCATGTCTGTGTGATCACTTGCCAGGCCCCAGGGCCTAAGTACCTGAGGGCACTGACTTAAGTCCTATAAGAATTAAACCAGGGCTTCCTGCCAGGTCAAGCCTGACCTCCCAAGTTGTTCAGAAGGGACAAAGGCAGCACTCAGCCAGATCTGGGAGGCCATGCCCCCCCTAACCTGCTGCAGGTCACCTACCTCAGCATACCAACACAGAGGAGGCAAGGCCGAGACACTGGGACTGCTTTGTCAAAAGGTCGGTCCCAAGCTAAATGACCCTGTCATTTTGTGAGCTGAGGCACAAGGAAGGCCCCATCCATCTTCTCTGGAGGCTGCTTATCTTTCTTGGGGAGGCCATCTCTCCTCCAAACATCTTCATCCCCAAAGATTCATTCTGAACCCTCCAGCCTCCTTCTCTCCTTCCTTTAAGACTACAAACCCACCCTGAGGGTCAGTTTTAGCTCTAAGGCTAACTTCCAGTCCCATCTTACATCTAGTGGCAACTGGGGCCAGGCTGAGGGTCTGTCCTAGACTGAGCCATGGAGGCAAAAACCAGGATTTAGTCTTAGTATAAGTCAAGGATTTCACCCAAGAATGAGCCCTGACTCTATTCACAGACTGAGCTCCAACCTTTTTCACATACTGAGCCCCAACCCTACTCTCACACTGAGCACCAACCCTGTTCACACACTAAGCCACAATCCTGCTGACACACAGAATCCTGAGCCTGCTCACACACAGAGTCCCGAGCCTGCTCACACACTGAGCCCCGACCCTGCTCACACACTGAGTCCCGAGCCTGCTCACACACTGAGTCCCGACCCTGCTTACACACTGAGTCCCGAGCCTGCTCACACACTGAGTCCCGAGCCTGCTCACACACTGAGCCCGGACTCTGCTCACACACTGAGTCCCGAGCCTGCTCACACACTGAGTCCCGACCCTGCTCACACACTGAGTCCCGAGCCTGCTCACACACTGAGTCCCGACCCTGCTCACACACTGAGTCCCGACCCTGCTCACACACTGAGTCCCGAGCCTGCTCACACACTGAGTCCCGACCCTGCTCACACACTGAGTCCCGACCCTGCTCACACACTGAGCCCTGACCCTGCTCTGAGCCTGGTCACACATCGAACCCTGACCTTGGTCACTGACTGAGCCTGGACCTTTATTTAGAGACACGCCATTAATTCGTCATATGGCCAAAGTTATTTCTCTGGCTCTATGCCTCAGTTTTCTCATGTTTCTAATGGAGGGCCTCAGGATGAGCTAGGCACTAAATCAGAAAATCCGCTATGCAGAAGGTGATCTGCAGCCCCCCTGGCCTGTGACAGGAGAGAATCAGCTGCTGCCACCTGCCATCCCCCACCCCCACCCACCACTTTCAGCTCAAGCATCACTAATTTTTGCAGCCGAAGTGATAAATGGCATTGTCGGCAAAATGACATCTTTCTAATCTGCTGCAAGACAGATGGATCCCTAGGCTCACTAGCTCTCTCTAGAGCCTGCCCTGGCCAGCTTCACTGAGGAGTGGGAGAGTAGGACAGACACAGGACCCCAGGCCTGGGGGGTTGCATGGCATGGGGAACGGAATTTCGGTCTCAGACCTTGGTTCTGGTGGGGTACAACCCTGGTGGGTTTTCGACAACCCTCTATTTAAAGTATTCAGTTGTTGTGGGTTTTGCGGTTTTTTTTGAGGAAGATTAGCCCTGAGCTAACTGCTGCCAATCCTCCTCTTTTTGCTGAGGAAGGCTGGCCCTGAGCTAACATCCGTGCCCAATTTCCTCTACTTTATATGTGGGATGCCTACCACAGCATGGCTTTTTGCCAAGCAGTGCCATGGGATCCGAACCGGCGAACCCCGGGCTGCTGAAGCGGAATGTGCATGCTTCACCGCTGCACCACTGGGCCGGCCCTCTAGTTGTTGTGTTTTTTTAGTATTCCAAACATATTCTCTGCTCCTTTCTGTCCACAGTTAGTCCTTCAATTCAATTTTCTTTTTAATTAAAACCTGAATATTGCTCAAATTTGCAAGGATGAGCCATCAGACGCTGGTTTGAGTGGCCCTTTCTTCTTGCCTCCCTCTGCTCTTGGGGCAGTGGGCGCAGAAGAACGTGCCTCTGCCTGAGCCACAGGGTCTGGGGATATTCCACCTCCTCCCCTGCTTCCCTGAGCCCCTCCCCCTCCATCCTTCCTGCCCTCCGTCCCACCACAGGCCCCAGGCTGCAGAGCAGGAGTGGAAGTGTCCCTCACGCCTCCTGTGGCCCAGGGAGCTGGGAGAGGGGCTGGTCCCAAGGTGAGGGCAAGTCAGAATGGGGGATCTGCATACCAAGAATTAATGAAGTACAAAGACCAGTCCCAGAGACCCCAGCTTCCCCAGAGACCCACAGGAGCACTGGCACTTGTCTGCCCAAAAGCAGCGAAGCCGGAATGGGTAGGGGTGGTAGGCACAGGCCTGGACTCACGAGCGAGGCAACACTGCCCCCTCCTGGCTAGTTTGTGGCTCCTCCTCTAACGGGCACTGCAAGGCTAAGCTGCTGAGGCTGGGGACACACAAGCAGCTCTCCAAAGACAGCAGGTGACACGCAGACCCTCCACCCAGCAGCCCAGTCAGCCCCTTTGCCTCCTCCCTAGGCAGACTGCAGCCTCCAGGTTCTGCCCATCCTGTCCAACCTTCTCTCACTGCCCAAAGACTCTTCTGAAAATACTGCGTCTGATGGAGCCCCATCACACTGAGGACAAAGCCTGAGTCCTCTCTAAGCTGCCCACGAGCTCGTCCTATAATCAGCCAGCCTCCTGCAGCACAGGCTCTTGCCACTCTGAGCCTCCCCAGTTCCCTGCCCTGCACTTTTTGGTCCCACCTGCATGATCTTGCCCTCATCTTTACCTCCACCAAGAATACCTCCCTCTACACACTGATTCTGCCTGGCCTCTTGGGTTCCCCCGAGAGAACTCCCCTCTCCCCCCACCTCAACCAGAATGACCCCTCCTTCCCCTGCCTGCACCCACTTGGGTACTGACCATTGTCAGGAATCAGAGTCACACAGTCCTGGAACTGGAGGGAACTTAGACATCCTCCAGGCCTACCCCCCACCCTCGCTGTCCAAAGGGCAACTCTGAGGCCCAGAGAGGGGCAGGAGCTGCAGAGGCCACATGGCACATTAGTGGCAGAATTAGCTTTGTCCAGAGACGAACCTCTTTGGAGTTCACATGGCTGCCTTCCCCAGTGAGCTGGAACAGAACTCCTCCCAGCAGGGACCCCTACAGTGCCTCCCAGTATCCCCAGTATCCCCTCACCCAGGGCAGAGACTTGAGGAAGTACCTGCAAGTGTTTGCAAAAGGAAGGAATAAATAATGAAAATATTTATCTAATGCCTTCTGTGTGCTGGACGCAGCAGGCACCAGCTCTGCTACTTGAAACCTTAGTAAGTTGCTCAATTTGGTATAGAAAAATAACCTCTGTGGGGAGGGGTGGGCGAGCACTCCAGGAGGGGCCTCAGTCGTGAATGTCAATGACCAGCGGGCACAGGTTGGGGGAGTGCTTGATGCCCATGGTGAAAGCTGGCGTGCGGGGCTTGTGCACCGTGACCTGCTGGACGTTGTGGGAGCCAGGGCCAGGCCGAGGCGTGTGGTCCACTGGGTAGGTGAAGCGCTTGGCCATGCTGTAGACAGGGCTGCGGTTCTGGTAGACAGACGGCTCAGGCCGGGTGCGCGTGGCCGGCCCAGGGCCTCCTGCTACATTCTCCCTGTAGAACCAGTTCTTATCTCCGGAGGCCAGACTATAGCAAGGAGCGGCTCTGTTGACAGGGTTGTTGGGCCCCAGCAAGCATGGCAGCTGGTACTGGTTGGGGGCTGGATTGGGGTCCATGACTCTGTATGGGCACCGGTGGCCAAAAGTGTGCTGGGGTGCCCTGCGTTCTCCAGGTGGGTGGGTCTTCTCCAAGCAGTAGTGGCAGGAGGCTGGAGTGGGGATCAGGCCTGAAAGTGGGCAAATGAGGGGAGGGGTCTTTGGGTAGGGGGGCAGCCACGTCTCCTGGTGTCCAACTGGTGGGTCCAGGTAGGGAGCTGAGGTCTTGATGAGCCTAATGTGACTTTACTATAAACACCTCAGCATCAAGCAAGGACATCATGACTCCTGTATGAGGCTATGGGCAGGGGAAGGCACTTGGGCCATCCTGACATCAGGATTGTGACACTTGTCATAATATAAAACCACAGGTGTCATCAGAACATCATCCTTGGGCTGTCAGCCTTCTGACATTGTCCCTGTGACAACACCAAGCAAACATCCTGAAATCACTACAGCCCATGAGTTCCTTAGCATGACAATATCGCTACTGAGATATGAGCCCCATGGCATTTCTATCATAATGTCACCCCATAACATATAAGCATAACATTGACTTCAAGACATAAGTACTGTGACAGAGACATGGTGATGTCAGCAGGGTGACATTGGTGTCTTGATGTGACATTGCAGGGAGATGCCAGCATCTACAGACAAACCTGGTCCTGAGGGAGGGCTCCCATCCTCCCACCTCCCAAACTGCCTTCCCATCCCATCTTACGCAGGTTGGAGATGCGCTCCTCCATGGGGACCTGCGGGCAGCTGGACATTCCAAACCGAGTTATTTTGGGATCCAAGAAGTAGCAAGGCCCAGGACTGCATATGTCCGTAATACCTGCAGGGCAACCAGCAAGAGGCCCCATCAGCCCCAGACGCTGCCCCCAGAGTGAGCCTGGCTTGCTCTAGGCAAGATCCCCTCCCCCAAGAGAAGAACAGGGTCCCTTCCAATTCCTTGGGCTCTTGGGTGCTTTAGGACCCTGATCTCCTCATCTGTGAAATGGGGCTTTTAACTCCTTACCTAACATCCTCAAGAACCTGCTCAGAGGAACAGATAAAATAACAGCAGCCTGGCCGGTGCTACCCACCAGGATGGGTGCCAAGGGGTAATAATGGGCACAGTAGCTCCTGTTAAAGTGTTGAGAAAGGGCCCAGGCCAGGCAGGGGAGGGTGTGTCGCCCAGAGAGGGGCCTAGCAGACACCCTAGATCTCAGACCCCCAGATACACACCTACACCCTTGCCCAGCATCTCTTCTCACTGGTCCTGGCCAGCAGCCCCAGGTCTCCTGCGGCCCTCTGACCCCACCCTTCCACAGGGTTCTAAGCCACCCAGGAAGCTTTGGGGGCCCCCACCCCCCAGCTATTCCTGCCCAGCCCCTGTGGCAAGAGAACCCATGGCATCAAGAGCTGAAGGTCAGACAGAAAGGAGCCCCTGCATGGCCAGCTAGATGGCCACAGTGACCCTCGAAACTCTCTCAGGGGGTCCAGCTGGGAGATCTCCCCAGAGCTGCCTTTAGAGGGGGTGGGTCACTTGGGCATCCCTGCTGCCTTCCTTCTGGACCCAGTAGGACACCTGGGTGTCCCTCTCATGGCAGGTCTGGGTTCCCAGGGAACCTGCGGCTACAGAGAATGGCTCATGTTTCTCACTGCCACCCCAACCCTCCCACAATGATAACCCCACACCCAAGGGGATGACGGGTGATGTGAGCACCCACGCTTCTCCGAGTGCCGGGTGTGCAGAGTGTAGGCTGGCTCCTGAAACATAGAGATGTCATGGTCTATGTAGCCTGTGCAGGATGGCCGGAGGTACTTGGCAGGGCCTGGACCTGTAAGGACAGACAGGGCAGCCCTCAGCCTGGACCCACCAGATCAGAGTCAGGGAAGCCCCAAAAACAGTGCGCCATGAGAACATCGGGGTCTTTGCTCCCACTGATGTTGCAATGCTACAGATCCCACCATCAAGCTGCTTCCTTTGCGGAAAGGCAGTGTTCCCAGATAAAATGCAATTTCTCTCTGACAGACAATGCGTAGCAGGAAAGGTAGTAGTTATAATGACTGAGAACTTATTCTCTGCCAAGTACTATACTAAGTATTTTATGTGGATGAGTTCAGTTAAGCCTTTCAACAACTCTGTAAGACAGATACTATTGTTTTTCCCATCTTACAGATGAGAAAACTGAGGCTTAGAAATATCAATCTGGCTAAAGTCACACAAGTTGGTAATGTGGCAATTCTGAGACAATCAGCGAACAGAGCCCAAACGTTTAACCTCATACTAAACCACCTCCCACAGAGAGCAATGGTCAGTCATTAAACATGTAGTAAGAATTAGTTTGTCTGCTTTCAGTTGAGAGTAAGATTTAAGGGAAGCGAGGAAAGCCACAGCTGGACTCAAGGCTCCACTGAATCCTGGGCCTATTCCCCAAAACTGGCCTCACTTCACGCCCCTCCTTCTCCTACCGCCCTGAAAAGTTCCAGCAGCTAATACTGCCTATGAAGCTCAGCTTGGAGGTGCAGATCACCTGTAGGCTTCGAGGAGAGTCCGCAGGGGCTTTGCAGGAGGCAGGACTGGAAGGCTGGGACACCTTCAGCAGCCCCGCAGGGAGAGGAACAAGCCAAGCTCAGGGCTCTCACCTTTGATCATTGCCATGATCACAGGGGTCTGCTTTACCTCCTGCCATGAGGGCACCTGCACCTTCTCCTCTGGGTGCTGCCCATAGAACACAGAGTTCCTGGCCCCCTTGGGCAGCTTCATGGCTGGGGCCAAGGAGAGGCCGACAGCAGCTACTCAGAGATCCAAGCGACAGGCAAGGAGCTCGGCCTGTGTGGGGCTGTTCCAGGTACCCTGCCCAAGCCCCTGTGTCCACTATCTCTCCCCTACTCCAGAGGCTGCGTGGGGGCTGGGAGGGAGGATGGGCCTCAGGCTCAAGCAGCTGAGGCCGTCTGGGGTGCAGCCAGCTGCAGGGCTCAGCAGGCTGGAGCTGGGGATGATGTCACCTCAGAACTTGGACTGTGAAACACAGAATGTTTATTTCCCCCAGTTGCCGTGGTGCCTGAACTATGGCGAAGAAATTCTACACTGGCAGCTCAGTTGTGGTACCCTGAGAACTCAGCCCTACTGCCCCCTAAATAGCCTGAGGGTCCCTAGGACCCTAGGTCAGGGAAGGGAAAGGGAGAGTTGGGGTGACAGAGTCTGCTCTTCATTCGTGGTGGGCACCCTGAGGTTGGAGAAAGGAATGGAAAGAGTAGGTGGGTCATGGGTGAAGGGTTCCTGCAAACAGCACAGGCCCCTGGGGTGGCCCTCTACCCCCACCCCTCCCACCTATCCCCCCAGGTCCTGGACATGCCCTGAACGTCTGGTTTTCAAAGTCTGGTTTTCCTTGGAAAAGAATCAAGCCAATTATGCCACACTAAGGTGCAACCATCTGATAGCTTCCCCGATGCCTAGCCCAGGGCACGGGATCCTCAGACATCCCTGTCTGGCTCAAGGAATACTTGCCAGGTGGTGGCATTCAGGCAGGGAATGGGGAGCAGATAAAGTAGGACAGAGGGGTGACACTGAGGCCTTAAGAGGCCACTTCTTGTTCCTGTGGTCAGGAGCGCCCCTTAGGGGGAGCGCGAGAGGAAACAGTGCGGGACAGAGAAGATCTCAGCAGTTGTGATGGATGGAGGAGCCCCAGGGCTGAGGAAATGCTGAGGACCCCTTCACCTCTAAAAACCCAGGAGGTTGGGGGCCCCAGGGCCTGCTTGCACCCACCGATTCATAGCTTAGACTGGGGATTTGATCTGAACCAGCTAAGAGGGGTTTCCATCTTGGGAAAAAGTGACTACTGGCTTTAGAGAGGGGGTCTGTCACAGCCCCGGTACACAGGTAACGAACCTGAGGCCCAGAAAGGGGCACAGAGTTGCCCAAAGTCTCCCCTTACCATAGTAGCAGAGATGGAACCAGGACACAAACCCCAGGGCTCTCTTTGGATTATAGCCTCTGATCTAATGGAAACCAAACCACGCTCTGGACTCATTCCAACCAGCAGGCGTGATGAGGACTTGGAGCAGACTAGCCAGACATGCTGGGTACTCCAAAAGATCCTTGTGGGACTGAAACGCTCTGAACAGAGGGCAGGGTTCCCTCCTCTGCCAGCAGCAGACCCTTCTCTCCAGGCCCCTCCCATCACCCGTGGGGTAGCCCAGCCTCTGATTTCTGGAGAGGCGAAGACCAGGCAAGGCTGGGATTGGCTCAGCCTCAGCTGGCTGTGGGCCACAGGCAGTGCCGCCTCCTCACCCCCATCCTCGTCAGTTTTTCCTTGAGGAAGATGTGGGCCTGCTGGGCCCCAGCCTTGATGGTCCCCTCATGCTGACAGGGGCCAAATGTGAAGCTGGGACTTCCACCTTCTTGGTCTGGGGGGAGGTGGTCTCCAAGTATTTCCCTCGCAGGAAGCCTTCCTGACACCCCCTACACTGCTCCTTTTGTCCTTGTGGGTGACTCGCTTAGGGAAGCAAAGCCACTCTACACCCAAGCAGGTCACAAGCCACCCCACTTCTGCTCTAAATGCTCCCTTCCCTCCAACTGTAACAGAGACCTAGCTCACCGCTGCTGACAGACCCTCAGCCAGCTCCAACGCTAGCGGTTCTGTCTCTCACAGCCCTGTTCCTCAGAGCCCAAGGTGGAGTACGTCCCTGGCCTCCTCGGTACCCAGGCAGTGCCCCTCCTTGTCAAAAGCCCTGGTCCTAGAGGGGCCCAGCATCCACAGTCCCCCTCCTCGTCTCCTCAGGGCTGCCATCTCTCTTGACTTGTAAACCTGGCAGCCCCGGCCTGTGGTCTTCTTCCCCACCTCCCAACTCCTGAGATTATGCCTCTGACTTAGGCCTCCCCGGGGACCACCCACCAATCCCTTGGCCTCCCAGTTCTGAGACCTCCTCATCTCCAAACACCTCCCCTCCACTCTTTCAGCCACCCTCCCCTCAGCACATCCTGGACTTCTCACCCCCTCCCCCTGCACTGACCGCACGCCTCCCTCTGGGACACCATCCCTGTCCTTTCACTTCTCTCGCTCCGGTGCTCTCGCTGCACAAATTGCCTGCCATCACTGAGACCTCATCACTGACCCTGTACTTTCTCCTCATCCCTCAGTCCCCTCCTGCCTTCACTGCCCTCCTCGTCCAGCTTCTTTCCTGGCAAATCCCAGCCCTGCGTCGCCAGGTCTGCCTTGCCCACCTGCCCCAGGCAGCTAAAAGCTGCTGGGAATAGTCTCAAGCCCTGAGCCCTGGACTTGCCTCCATGCCATCCCACAGCCTATCTCCATTCCGGTCACCTTGCTCTCTCCCTCTCTCCAGAGAGCATTTCCAACAAGCTCACTCTCCTCCACAGGCTTGGCCCTGCCTTCAGCCTCCTGCTCTGCCTCCTCCTCAGCGGAGAAAACAGAGGCCTTCAGACTGGACTCTGCCTCAAACCCTCCCCGCCACACCGTCAGAACCGCTGGCTTCTGGTGTCACCTTCTCCCACTTCCCTTCTCAGGCTTGGGAGGACCCAACAAGACCTTTTCCCATCTCCTCTGCCCACTCAAGAATCTTTGCTCTCCATTGCCCCCTCTCCTCTCTTTGACCCCTCATCTGGACCCTTCCTATCACACTGTATATACCCCACATCCCTTCCATCATTAGAAGCCATCTCCCGGGCCCTGCACACCTCTCATCATCATCATCATCCTCATCATCCTCATCATCACTGCCCAGATCCCCCTCCCCCAGTTCACAGATAAAGTTCCCCAAAGAGACGTTTTCCCTCTTGTCTCCATTCTCTCCTGCCTTTCACACTTTGACTCCCTCAGGCTGGCTTCAGGCTCATCCCTCCACCTAAACAGTGACCTGCATGTGGAGGTGGCAGCTCACGGGCACTTTCCACCCTCGCCCAACCAGCCTCTCAGCAGCCCCAGACCGAAATGACCAACCACTCCCTCCTTCCTGCAGCACCTCCTCCTGGTTCCAAGATGTTCTCCCGGTCTTCCTCCCGCGTCCCTTCACAGGCTTTCTTCCTGTCTCCTTTTCCTCACCCTGGCCTTTCAATGTTCGCATAAACTTATTAATTGCAATGGGAAATCAGCAACTTTACAGGGAGAGTGCTGGCAGGCACCACCTCAACCAAGTGACATAAGTCAGCATCCCTGACAATGGGGCAGATAGATGTTGTGTACTTTCTGCAAGGAGACACCGAGAGGGACACGGCCTCACTTCTGGAGTGTTCCCATCAAAGATGCACAACTGAATCTAATTATGAGGAAACCAGACAAACTCAAATCAAGTTTCACTCTACAAAATAACTGGTCTGTACTTGCCAAAAATATCATGAAAGACGAAGAAACACTGAAGAACTTTTCCAGATTAATAGAAACTCAAGAGACAGGACAACTCAATGCAGCACAGGGGCCAGGACTTTCTTTTGCTATCAAGGAAATTATCAGGGAAATTTTCAAAACCAGACAAAAGTCTGTGGCTGGTTAAAGGTACTATACCAACGTTAATGTCCTGATTTTGATCATTGCACTCTGGTTATGAAAGAGAAGGTCCTTATTCTTAGGAAATACACACTGAAAGATTTAAGGATAAAGGAGCATTCTCTCTGCAACTTGCTCTCAAATAGTTCAGGGAAAAAATATATATATACATAGAGAGAAAAGAATTAAAAATACAACAAAATATTAACATTTGGGAAATCTAGGTGAAGAGTATGTGGGAAATACTTGTCTTGCTACTTTTCTGTAAGTCTGAACTTATGTCAAAAAAAAAAAAAAAGTTAAAAGAAAACAATGTTGGTGTGTCAGAGCTCAGCCCTGGCCTCCCTCCATTTTACACCGCTCTCCCCTGGCCCGGGCAGTCTCATCTCCTCTCATTTCTTCAATCCCATTATCTGTACCCAAACAATTCCTGAATATACATGCCTCTGCTCAGACCTTCTTAGGAGCTTTAGACCCACATATCTGGCAGCCTGTGCAGTGTTACCTGGGTGTCTCACAAGCACCTCAAAATCAACATGCCCAAAGCTTTTCACGTGACATAACCTCTGTCTCCCATTTATCTCAATAAATGATGCCACCACCCATCCAAGTGCCCAAGCCGGAAATCTGGGCTTATCCTGGACATCTTCCTTGTCCTTACTCCCCCTATCCAACAACCAGCAAGTCACTTTGGAGCCTGTGAGCTCCCAAAGGCAGGGCTCCTGTCATTTACCCTTGTGTCCCCAGCCCCCAACATACTGCCTGACATCTGGTAAGTGCTTAAGAAATATTTGTTGAATGAATGAATGAGTTGATCCATTGATTGATCAAGGAAACATCACTCCTCCTCATGAGGGCAGAGTCCTATTTTCTGAGTCCCAGACACACATCCAGTCTGGCTCACTGGACGGCCATTTACAGTTGTGCAGGTTTGCATCAGCTCTCTAATGCTGTGTAACAAATTATCCTCAACACCTAAGTGCTTAAAATAGCAATAAGCAGTTATTATTGCACACAGTGTCTGTGGGTCAGAGTTTAAAAGTGACTTAGCTGGATGGTTCTGGCTCCAGCTCTCCCAGGAAATGGCAGCCAAAATGTCAGTAGGGGCTGCAGTCATCTGGAAGTTTGATGGGGGCTGGCGGATCCACTTCCAAGATAGCTCATACACATCAATGGTGAGTGAGTGCTGGCTGTGCGCAAGAGGCTGCAGTTCCTCTCCACAGGGGCCTCCACAAGCTGCTCAGCTGTCCTCAGGCCATGGTCGCTGGCTTCCCTCAGAGCAAGCAATCAGAAGACAGCAAGGCAGAAGCTGCCATGTCTTTTATGACCTTGACTTGGAAGTCATACTCTATCATTTCTGCAGTGCTCTGTCAGCCATACAGGTCAGACCCATCCAGTATGGGAGGTGACTACACAAGGGCATGAATACCAGAAGGTGAGGATCATTGAGGGCCATCTTGGAGGCCGATTACCACAGACGTTTCACTGTACAAGGACTTCTAGCCAA